AACAACAACAACTGGAATTCCATTCAAATTCAACTTGAGAGATACAAAACAGACCCAAACATATTGAAAATACATCCCAATTACATATATAAGAGATAAGACCATAAGCAACAAGAACACTCTTTTAGAGAAAAATAACTAAAGACGTATAGTAACTAATCAAACTTAGCATCAAAGTCACTAATCTTAGTAATGACTAGAAAAGTGAGTCCCGACTCCCAAATGATTCATTAACAACCAAACAAATGTGAGAAGTTCGCCTCCCTTACTAGGTTGCTGCGCATGGACCTGAGGCCTGCAATTAATAGCAGCAAAGCACATTAAATGTACCCAAACTAGGCTCATTGACTCCCAAGGATATGATTTCTTCAACTGTTTGGCTAGCGCAGAGGCTGCAAATAACACTGATCTATCAATATCCCTTTGTGGGTTTCTGGCATTTGGTATCAGTTCAAGGATTTTTTTGCTAGCCTTTGATATTTGCCTTTTGACATCCTTTTCATTTGATGAGATTGACCTCCTGCTTACCAATGACTCTGCCTCTGCCAATGTGTCTTCAAACACTATTTTCCAACTCACTGAGACAGCTGCCATCATAGTTGGATGCATTATTAAAAGGTAAAACATATAGTCTGAAAGCAGCTTGCATATTTCTTTGTGATTGAAGCCGTTAGAGGTAGACGTTTGGCCTTCTTCAGTCCTAGAGCCATGCGGTTGGTCCGGTTCCTGCTGCAGCCAGCATATTTCAGTAGCTATATGCCATGTTAATACACTTTTCGAGTAATCTAACTCCTCCAAGATATTGGCGATGTCCGTAGAATTGCTAAAGCTCTCAAGAGCCCGTTTCCTATTGGATTTCCAAGCTTGATTGGCCTCTAGCCCAGTTGGCCGAGATGCATCTTCCATTAAGGATGTGCTCAATTTTTTCACTTCCTCATAAATGAAGTGCCATTGGTCTTCTCTGAAATTTTGAGAAGAGAGACATAGGATTCCTTTTATGGCTTCCAATAAAATCCGTATGCCAAGATAATTAGCAATGTCTCTTAACAAGACCGGGGAATATTTAACATAGTAAGTAATAAAATTCAACTGCGAAACTGCTCTACACCACCTGCGCTTATTGAAGAATTTGGACTCCATACTCTGGATGTGAGCAACCAAAATCCAATCAGATAAACTGAGCAATATGACAGACATGAATTCCAATAGCAAGGCCCCGATTAGCAACCCATAGGTTAGCCAGATGTCAAACTGCCCCAACTCATAATGCTTCTTAAATAATGAGAATGACAACTAGGCTCCCAAGATGCAACAAATAGTAATGAACCTGAAAATGTATCCAATCGTGCAACCAACCACAGGCAACTTGGTGTGAAGAACCTCATACAACAGGCTTACCTCAATTTCCATTGCTTGCAACACGTGAGATGAATTTTCTAATTGGAGAAAGGTTTCCCTGATATCAGAGCATTGATCTGGAGATAAAAAAGGGCCTACAAGTGTCATCTTGATAGTGCCAAAGTGGTGAACTGCTGTCCATAATATTGACTTGAGACTCTTCTCAAATTTTTCCATGGTTTTGGCATCCATCTTTTGGAGTTCCACTGGAATCGGAAGTTCATCTCCCCATTCACTAGGCGCCCAGCCATCTCCAAGATGATCAAAGCTTGCAAGATAAAATGCACGGTTACGTTCAGCGTATTTGATTATTCCTGCCACTGTCACCAGTATGGTTGGGAGCCAAAGCTTGTTCTCTGGAAGGGACTTAATGAAGACGTAGGCAGTAGAACCAACCTGCAACAAGAGCCCAAGCAAGTGCCTCACCCAAAACTCATTATCTTCGAGAGCGAAGGAAGTAATGGTGTCAGGACCACCGAGGTGCAATAGGAGAAAGGGTGCCCAAAAGACCTGGATGTCACTACTTTCAGTTGGACTTTTGATTTGCTTGCTTACGATCAATCCAATTGAAAAACCGGCAACCCAATCAGCCAACAAGTAAATCGACCAGATCAACAAGTCGACACATTTCCCATATATCTTACCTCTCCTTTTTCTATATGGCGCAAACAGAATTAAGAAGACCTGCACCGAAAGGCTGACAATCACGAATACCCTGATGTTCCATGTGGCCCATAGCTTCTTGGTTTCTTCAATAACAAAGGACGACATTGTTTTTTCTCAATTTCTTCGTTGTTGTTCTACGAAAACAAGGATTGAGCTAAGACAATGGAGGGAAGAAGTTGGGATGAGAGCAAATGAAACGAGAATATGGTAGGAAAGTGCTGCGAGTTTAGTGTTAGAGGAATCAAAGTGAAACGCTATGCTTGATTACATATATAAATTTAAGAATTTTAATTGACGAACTAGAAATTGAGGTGAAATAAAGTCAAATCATTTAAAAAAAAAATTAGAAGATGGGTAAAAAATAGTTATAATCAACTTTATTTTTTTTATGTTAATTATAATCAACTTTCTTTCGAAAAGATTATTTCTTGTTACTTTTTCTTTTAAGAAATAGATATGAGAAAAGTGTTTGTTAATAGGATTTTTAAAAAATTAGAAGGAACATGGTCCCCAAACTACATTATTTTAATAAATTTGATTGAAAATTACTAAAATAATATTTTAAGTAGAAATAATGGTGTTTTGGTATTTTTTTATTGTGTTTTATTAAAACAATGTAGTTTGAAAGTGTTTCTTTATTTTAAGTTTTTAGAAATCCAACCAATAAATACTAATTCCCAGAGATATTATATTAAAATAATAAAATTGAAATTACATATAAATCTATATCATACTTTATAGTCAAAATAGAAGTATAATAAGTAGAAACTAAACCCCTGATGGACATATAAAATTAAATATAGAGAATTATTTATATTTAGAGATTACAATAACAATTATGGCAGGAGCATAAGCAGAGCTATTTTATTCTACTAACATAGAAAGAAAGTTACTATGAGTGCAATGAGCATTATAATTTCCAAATTTTTTTAGAATAATGATAAATAAGATTAAAATTTGGGGTCAAAATCTAGAACCAATGATGTGACATAAATTATATCATTTAAAATATTAAAAAATAAATCCTATATTATTTAATAATTGATTCTTTTTATTTTTTTGA